TCCGCTTCACAAGTGAACTGTGGAAGAAGACTGCAGAACAGATGGGCAGTCAACTTCAAATGACTTCAGGGAATCATCCCGAAGCCAACGGACAAACCGAACAAATGAACAGAGTGGTACAGCACTTGCTGCGGCATTACATCAAGCCCAGCCAAGATGATTGGGATGAGCAGTTGCCTCTCATCGCCAGCTTGTACAACAATGCTATTCATAGTAGTACCGGCGTTAGTCCTAACCAGTTGCACTTGGGATGGAAGCCTAGATCAGCACTAGACTTCCTCCTACCTGAAAACCGACCTGCTGCAACTCTAGGCACACTTGAATACGGTGTGCAATATGAGAAGTTGCTGCGAGAGGCTGTTGAACATATGAAGAAAGCTCAGCAAGCCATGATTGCTTCTGAGAATCAACATCGCAGACAGTCCACATTTCAGGTAGGGGAATGTGTCTGGATCAAGGCTAGTGAGTTAGGACAGGAGTTCGGAATATCTCGTAAACTAATGCCTCAATACTTTGGTCCCTGGGAAGTCTTGGATATAATGGGAGATGAAATGGATGGTCCTACGTACGTCATTCGCGTCCCTGGTCATCTACGCACTCACCCAGTTTTTCATGCCTCAAAGTTTGCGCCTTTCGCTGAGACAGATCAATTCCCTTCCAGGAGATCGATGCTGCCCCCAACCATGGATGGTCAAGTTGACATCGACGACATTGTGGATCACAGGGACATGCCTGTTCCAAAGCCGCTGGGCCGAGGAAGACCTCCCAAGCCCAAGAGAGAGTACCACGTCAGATTCAGGCATCACACGGATCCTAAAGAAGATCGTTGGTTTACCAGGGAGGAACTGATTGACACAGCCCCTCAGGTGGTGGCAGACTATGAGAAAAAACTGAAAGGGAAGGCGCCTGCGAAGTAAGCATCTCAACGGACTTTCGAAGCTAAGGGGGATGGAATGTGAGGATTGAGCCCTCAAGTAGGGGCCTTGCCATGATGTACATGTTCTGGGCTAAGGCCCCAGCAAGCCCAGTGCCCGCCCTAAGTGAAGGCGGGCCAGCAAATCGACAAGAGCCCTCTGTGCAACATTTCACGAAGTGCGGTCCATACAGTTGCAGTACGCCAGTTSGTTGGAGTGCACCGAGTCTCGGATTTCAGCAAATGCTGAAAGCCCAGGGCCTCTGAGTTGGTTAGGCCCTGGGCATCTGAACGTGAGGGCGACAATGCATGCTGGGAAGAGAGGCCGAAAATGCCAAAGGGAAATCGGCCCACTGTCTGAATCTGGCCGCAGGCCTTGATGAAGGAGGCGCAACTGCCTTACCCCGGGGCCCAACTGTATCGAGTTGGCTTCAGCCTCTGGGCCCCGGTCATAGRYTGAAGGGAGGCYGCCCACACGCTGCACTGGCATATAGGCAAGCAGGGCGAGGCAGCGGGGATCTTGGCCAATGCTGGCATATGCGGGCACGCTGCGCAGATGCAAGTGTGCTGYGCYAATGCAGAGCAGCGCYGYGCTAAGAAGAAGCARGGCAGCRCTAGGCGGTAGGGCGCTGCCTGCTTGCAGAGCACTGGCGGCCATAGCCGGGCCGCAAGAGGGTGCAGGGGAGGTGAGGGCGAAGGTGGTACTTCGGAGGTGAAGGGCGCTGTGTGGGTAACAAGGGAGAGTGTGGGGAAGATGACACGTACCTGGTGATGGTGGAGGTCTGCATTGGTGTTGACATCATCACTCGGTGGTAGTCAAGTTGTCTGGTTGCTGTTCATTGCTGTAGTTGTAGGATAGGCTGTAGAGTAGATAGGGCGCCTGGCGCCATTCACAAGAGAGAGCTACATTTGGGTTAYGCTGTTGGTGTTGCCCTGGTGGGCATGGACATTGACTCACGATTCTTCTGTATCATTCTCAATGGGATGGTTACTCGGTTCCATGTGCTATCTGCTTTGGCTTTGAATACTTGGACTTCAGTGTGATTTTGCATTCTGAATTTCTGTGCTTCGTCCATACTCATGTTCCTTGCACGGTTTGGAATTTTCTTTAATTAATCTGGAAATTGCCAAATTATTTTCTGTTTTTGATCTCTCAAACTTAAAACTTTTCACTCCCCTCACCTTCCAATTACAAAACGATATTAATTCAGCAATTAACCAAATTTCATGAATTTTGAATCTTTTCGTATAAGTCCTCCCCTTTAGAATTCATCAATTATTAATCCGAAATTAACTCGGAATTACTTCCGAATTAATTTGGAATTTCAACCTTTTTCCCCTTTTTACTGTTGCGTGGCACAGGCCCTCGATTTGCCTTACAGGGCCTATTTTCCACTCAGTCGGCCGCCCTAAGTGACGGCAGGCACGGCCAAGGTCCCCAGGCCATTTTGGGGTCACCACGCAACTGGGGGAAATTCAGGCAGTTGCGCAGCCCCAGTTGGTTGGAAGCGCCCAGGCCCAGGCTGCCTTTCATTGCATGTAATTGAGGCAGGCCCTGGGCCGGATACACAAAGTGGACCAAACAAAGGCTGAGGGCAGTTGGGTGCTGGTAACCACCACAGGCCCTGGGCCTGTTTACTTCGGACTGAGGCTCAGCCTCGTGGGGCCTACCGGAAGCATCTGGACCAGGGCCCAGTACCGCATTACTGCACGCAGCAGCAGGCCACTTCGATATAGAGAAGGGCCTGCCTACGCATAGGACATTCGGGCACTGGCTGCTTTGTGCGCAAGCGCTGCTGCGCTATCGCCTGCCAGGCTCACGCGCTCACGGGCGAGCTGGAAGGAGCAGGCAGCCATAGCTGAGCTGCGCTGCTGCATGCTGGATGGGGCGCATGGTGGTCCTTGGGTGCAAGTGGCATCCGTGAGTTGGGGAATGAGTGATACGAGAGACATACCTGGTGCTTGAAGCGTGCGGCCTTGGCCGAGATCTGCTCGTACTTCGGGGAGCTGTTGACGTCATCAGCGGCATTGTAGAGTAGGCTAGATAGGATCTGCCATCTGTAGTCTGGGCATCGAGCGCCAGATAGGATATCACCATTGGTTCTTCGTTGATGATGATGATGAGACTATTCCAGCATTGTCAATTATGAGCTTTTGGTGTGCTTTTATTTGGTGAAACTCGTGATGCAATTCTGCTTTTTTTTCGAGGTCACGACTATCTGGTCTCATGTGTATGCTGCTGTTTGATTGCTGAAGTTCGCTATTGCTCCTCTTCCTTGCAATTTGGTATCGGAGCTGTGGTTCGGTGCGCTAATCTGGCGCTTATCTTCTGCCTAATGCGGTACATGCATGCGGTGTGTACGTGGGACGTGTGTAGTGAGGAGGGCGAAGATAAGTGGCAACCCAAGAGGTGAGGGGAATCGTCAGGAAGGCTGTGTGGTGATTATTGGGTGTTCGCAGTGTGATGAGAACTATCCGGTGTGTGATTGATGCTGAGGTGGAACGGTTGTGCAAGGCTGGTTGTGCCGAAGCAGCGATTGCTCATCACAATCAACATCGGGTCATCTGATGAGAATATCTGTGGTTGGGGGCAGCTATTTTGAGGTACGTTGCACCTAACCTTATCTACCCTCTTCGACACTTATTACCGTGAGGATGTGTGTTCTGTCTTGAGAGTCCTCTCATGTGAGGAGTAATGTGCGCTCAACCTTGAGAGTCGCCAGCCTTCACGTGGAGCATCTGGAAGCAGAGGGCAGAGCTATCTAAAGGGCCGTGGACGAAGCACTGGGTCACCATGCCAACCCACCGGGAGTAGAGCACGCATGCTTTGCTGCTTTGTCCTTTGTCTGCTCGCTGCGGTGTAGAGGGGTTATGAAGGGCAGGCCAGCCCTAGGGGACAGACGAGACCGGGCGTCTATAAATAAGCACCGGCGGAATACCTTCCATTGGCTGTGATCGTCGTCATGTTTGAGACGTTAAAGAATTCCTAGGGACTTCGGGGGACGTCCATAAAAACGTCTCCTGATCAGCCAATCGGTCGGTGTAAGGTTTGCTGCACGCGAGGATAAATACGGTGCAGGGCTGGCCAGCTCAGCAGGGCTCGGGGCACAGGCGTCGGCCGTGTGCACACCTTTAGACACGCACGCTATCTGGATGGCTCAGGGACGTTGACGACAAGGGACATTCAAGAAGAATTGAGGGAGGGGTAGATTCCAGGTGATAAGTTTGGGCAAGATTCCATTCTGCAAATAGGCCCAACAAACGATTCTATTTTTATTTTGATTAGTTAGATGGACAGCCATTAACATCTGACAGACAACATTAGTTAGAACTGTTTTCTGTTCCTTGTGCTTCTGTTTGCGGACTAGTCAAAGTAAAATAGTTTTGTTTGTAGGAATCTGAACTTACCTGTTGGACCTGAATGTATAGTCTCTGACATAGCCGCTGATTATTTAATAAATCGGTCTGTACATGTCGTTGTAGTAGGCATCGATCGTGTGTCCTAGTGCAGACGGTGTGCAGTTCTGTGGCATATGAGCGATAGGGACACCGCTAGTGAGGACAACCAGATCTTGCGATCGGCTAGACGCCCGATAGCCCACTTGGCCTTAGGACCAGAGGGTGACAAATTTATGCTCCGCCAGCTTAGGGAAAGGCAGCAGCAGAGGCCAGCAGGGCGTTCACAAGCGAAGCCGCTGTTTCAGCAGCCATGGCAACTGCTGCGCAGCAAAATTCCCAAGCCGGTAGTTCAGAGTCTGTAGGGTCAACGGTTGCACAGACTCTGAGTCAGTCCATTGGTGTCATGGCGAGCCAGCCGTTAGTGATGACTCCCGAGGAGGTCGCCATACAACGAGCTGCTGATCGCGAGGCACAACTACAACAGGCTTTAGGAGAGATTAAGGCAGAAAAAGAAAGGATCATTAGAAGAAGAGCCAGGATGCAATGGAGGCAAGCGGACATCATTGAGTTAGAGGAGATGGACCCTGCAGAGTTGGAGGATGATGTGAGGATCATACGATCGGTCTTGCTAAGTGTAGTAGAGATGCAAAGATCACCAGATGGAGGTCTTACAGGGCATCCAGCAGAGTCTGGCTGTGTTAGTCGGGCGAGTGCAGGTGGCACCACTACCGTTCGGGCCCGGTGCCTGGCCCGTTGTACATCCTCCTCCTTTTGTCCCACTGGTGACTAGGGTATCCCCATATACATCCCCAACATCGGTCCAGCCTGTTTCCCTAGGTATGCCTTTGACAGGCGGGTTCTCAGTAGGTCCTGGCGTATAGATTCCTGTACAGACAATGTTCTCCCAACCTCCGTCTCAAGTTGCCGTAAGCGGGCAGCCTGCTGTCTCGCAGCCTGCATAGCCGCAAGGTTCACAGCCCCAGCAGCTAGTGCAGCAACCTGCACCACAGGGTCCTCAGTCCAGATTGATGCAGGGACCGGGACAAAGTCAATGGGTTCCAAAGACGGCCATCGCCGCACCTAAACCCTTTACAGGGGATAAGAGGGGCGAAGACCTCGACACTTGGTTGAGGGTAGTGCCAGTCTATGTCAAGTGCAAACTTACCTTGCCACACGAGGAAGTGCTCGTGGCTGCATCCTATCTAGAGGGGAATGCAGCACGATGGTTGAGTGGTTTAGTGCAGCTACAGGGGTACGGTCATGACTTTCGCGCTTGGGCGGTCACTCAGAAACTGGATGACTTTCTCAAGTTGGTGGAAGACAGGTGGCATGATCCTTAGGAGGCCCAAAAGGCTACTGATGCTTCCTGACACTGCACACGAGGCAGTTTAAGTCAATAAGAGAGGCCACTGACGCTGTGGAGCGTCTGATCTGTGTTCCTGGGGTTCGCTATGACCCCCAGGTTTTACTCACCTCCTACCTGAGATGCTTTCCCATGCCTCTCAGGAATCAGTTGGCAGGTGAGGCCAACATCAATATGCACAACTTTCCCTCGTTTAGCAAGAAGGCCCTAGACCTTGAGGCAAAGATAGGGCACGGTCAAACACCCACGACGGATGGCAGGAAAAAGACACTGCCTCCCGTAGACAACGATGGTTCGGAATTGGAATCATTCTTTAGAGATCGGAATTGGAAGCAATGAAACCGAGATGCTTCAGATGATTTTCTAGTAGCGATCTCTGGTCCACGATCAGAAGCAATGAAACCGAGATCGGAATTGGAATCATTCTTTAGAGACAAACTCCAGTGGCTCGAAAGGAGTACCTTTCCTTGGCCACAACATCTTTCGAAGTATGCGGTGGCAACCTTACGGCTCGAAGAGCAGATGCTTAGCGTCTGAATCCCACGAAGGCATGAAAGCGCGTAAGAATTTTCTTCTTTTCTTCTTCTTCTTCTACTACTACTACCACTACTACTGTACTACTACTACTACTACTACTACTACTACTACTACTACTGTACTATAACTACTACTACTACTACTACTACTACTACTACTACTACTACTACTACGACTACAACTACCACTGCTCCTTCCACTGCCGCTGGTCCTCATCCTCCTCATCCTCCTCATCCTCCTCCACCTTCTCCTTCTCCTCCTCACTCTCCTCCTCTTCTTGATTGATTCCACTTTATTTTCGCCATCATTTGTATGATGATGTGCCACGGTTCTTTACATGCCCTCAGGCAATAAGCACCATGCTCTTGGGACTTCACTGTGCGTGTTCTAATGCATCACCATTGTGATGTGCTGATGATATCTGATGTGATGGGCTGGTAGGATCGAACCTCAGGATAGGTCAACTTGGTCCACATTCAAGTCTTGCACAATGGGGCTCTATGTCTGGGATATTTGTCCGGATTTCCATTCCTGATGATGTCTGAAACAGAAGGTAAAATAAAATGTCTTCTGTTTGACGAAGGGAAAGAGAAAAGAAAAGAGTATAAAAAATAGTATTGAAGTTATTGACCCACAGACCCTGATCATGAATGCTGCAATGACTTGCACAGTCCGAGATTTCTGCCATTTTCTGAGTACTGCTCTGTTAGTCTGATTTCCCGAGGTTTCCAAGTCTGAGCGTGTTTTGCTATGTTGCTTGTGTGTTCGAGAGTTTGAGTGATGTTTGCTGTGTGCATGAGCTAACTGTGTTCTCGTACTGTGTGTCCACAGGAGGGGTCAAACTGTAAAGAGATATGGCTACAGGGGTAGGAGTAAAATTGCATGCAAGATGGACTTGGAGAAAATTGCAGGGAGAAGGTTAAAAGTAGAATTTGATAGGGAACCGGTAGCATTTTCCAGCATCTTGGGTAGTGCTAGAAAGGTCTGGCAGCTTCCAAAAAGGTCATGATGGTCTAGGATCCAGATGTCGGTAACTATCAGGTTATGGTCGAATTTGATCGGCACCCGGTAAGATTTTCCAGCAGCTCGGTCCTGTAGCTTCCAAGAAAGTCATGATGGTCGAAGGCCCAAATGAAGGTAGATATCAGGCGAGGTCCAAACCCTGTAGGTGAATTGGAGGCTGCAATGATGTTCTCAGCAAAAGGCAGGAACTTCAGGTAGATCCTAGTGCACCAATGAGATGATGGCTGAGAGTGCCCGAGTAGAGGTACCGGGATTCACCCAGCCGCCATCCTGCTGCTCTGCCAGAGGAAGAGTGAGGCAGATCTCTGGGTTGAAGCAGGAGCTGAGGGCGAGGAAGAAGATCTCCATGGGTATGTAGTGGTAACAGAACAGAGTAGGCCTAGACTATGGAGGTAGAGGGAGAAGCACCTCAAGCAAGACTATGAAGGTAGCTGGAAAAAGTGGTAGAGGGAGAAGCACCTAAAGCACGGCTATGAAGGTAACTGGAAGAGGTGAGTAGAGGTAGAGGAGGAAGAAGCAGGGAACCGATAAGACATACTTCCGGGTATGGTGTACCTTCTTCTCCATTTCCTTAGTTTGTGCTCCATATTGGAGGCCCTTGTCGGGGTACCGGCTGGACATGGACTTCATTCAAGAGTGCAAGAGTGCGGCTATGGTGGAATGAGATGGGAGAGGGGTGGTAGTAGTGTGTTGTCCCTTGAACAGGCGGACACGGATCATCCGCCATAGCTAGATATGCAAACATGAAGAAAGGAGTGAGTGAGAGGCCTAAAGGAGAGCTATTCGAGAGCTGACAGGTAGGGGGATCATTCTTACATTGATCTGGTTCATTCATTGTTTTAGTAGAGTATTTAATTGTTTATAAGAGGGACAGGCGATCATGCGTGGAGGAGGAAGATGGCAACAGGCGGTGGAGATGACATTGATTGTCTTGTGTTCTTCTTGTTTCATCCTTCATTCTTCTTCCCTCATCTAAGTCCACTTCTTCTTGAGTTACAAAATATTCAATTGTGTCAAACTTGGGTCTTGCATCGTGCAATGAGCAGGATCGTAGCAATGCAAATCCCTGTCCTACAAATTCTATGGATGTGCAGAAACACTAGGATTGGTCTGTGCCGCTACTATGCTTTGTGCATACCCCGTGACTCTACTTCTGTCGAAATTGAATCCTGTGACGGAGTGTTGTGCACCCTTCATGTTGGTTGCATGCAATTTGGCTACTGTGATGGCAAAATTTACTATGCACTTTGGAGACCTCAGTGGTCAACTCGTCTGTGTATTA